GGGGGGGGGATTGGGGTAAACGGGAGTGTTGGTGGTGGGATATAAGGAATGGGCAAGTGGAAGAAGTGTGGGAAATCTTATGGTGATTACCTATATTTAAATGCGAATGTCGCAGAGCTTTTAAGGGATACATTTTTGTTGTGTTTCGACCTAAGATGTTTCGGTTAACATGGAAGCTCAGCCATTTTAAATACCAGTTGTTACCAAGAGCACTATCAGAACAATAGTTCCTACAACTGACGCACATGCAGTCATGGGCCTTGATAATTCACAATTCAGTCTTATTACTTTCTTAATATTTTTAATTTTTTAAAATGTTTCGTCCCATTCACTTTTACTTTTAACGGCCTTCATTTCCTTGAGCTGTCGAGGATAGAAATAAACCTGTTTCTCTTGCTTAATGTAGCGCGAGTGGAGTAGTTATTTGTTGTAGGTAAAGTGTTTTGGGTAACCAGCATTTAACTGTTATTTATTTATTTTTTTAAATGAGTGCTTGGTTGGAGGGTGCTCTTATGTGGTCTGCTCCTCCTTTCCTATCAAACATTCATCGTACTTATCTCTTCTCCCTCTGTGTGTTTCGTTATTTCATTGTCAAAGTTATATTACAACTCGTTATCATGATCATGATAATGATATCATCATCATGATCATCATCGTGATCATCATCATGATCTTCATCATCATCATCATCATCATCATCATCATCATCATCATCATCATCATCATCATCATCATCATCATCATCATCATCAACATCATCATCATCACGTCAGATCTGAAACAGGCATCGGGGATCACAGTTTCCGTTAATTTTTCTGCTCAGATGCTCTCTTAAGCCTAATTAATAATAATATTGCCTTGGTCATTTGCCGTCATCCAACTGTTCTTTTAGTAAGGCGTTTGGTTTAGCCCTTTCAATTTCAGACTTGCTCATTAACCCAACCAATACATATATGGTATTCCGATGAAATACAGAAGTCGAAGAGAATGGCATCTGTCCACCCTTTAGGCAATTTCTTTAGAATTTGGGTTTTTTTCAATGCCTTGTAAGTCCATTTAAATACTTACATCTGAGTGGAGTTTACTGAAAAACGCTGATCAAAAGCACAGAAAATGTTTTTTTGCATTTTTAAATACACGACAGAGCTGTGGAAGACCCCAAACTTAGGCGACCATTTCCTTGTTAAATTTACTTCTGACACCAGATGGCCGCCATCTCCTTCAATCACATATGTCTTGATGGGTATTTTTGTTCATCAAAAGCAAGGCAAATGAACATGATTTAAGATTATACCTATTACTCCATACGCCTGAAACTTGACGAGCTCCTGATTCCACCGTGTCGTGACACAAATAGTTGTAGACAATGTTTCATTTGACTGTGAAGGAGCTAAAGCCTTTGTGTTGATTCAAGGGGTCTACTACAACTAAAAGCAATAATAATTACTTCAATGTTTCTCCAGGTATAGGCGATGGTATTGATTCTGTTGAACTAGAAGGAATCGCTTCTCACCCAACCTGCACACACGTGAGAAAGATAGCAGTCTTTTCAGAGCTGAAATCTCTCGTGGATGACGTCAAAGATGCCGTCTGTAAAAGTAGGTCCGGCTCATCCACGTGAATTAATAATAATATTATAAAATGCACAGAACAAGCTGTAAAGTGAGGGTAAAGTTTGGACATGCGTTATATTATTATAGGTGTAATTCTTCTTCTTCTTGAAGGGGGACGCAATTTGTCTTTCTCTTTCTTTGACCTTCCCCGCTCTAACTTTGTGTATGTGTGTGTGTGTGTGTGTGTGTGTGTG